TACTTTCGATCCTGATAACATTAAAATCCCCTCCATTCCTTTGGGTTTTAGTGGTTTTTTCTTTCTTTTAAAAATTCTAATCACAAAAAATTTATTTTTAGCGCGAATTATATTGAACGTGAACAAATGTAATGTTTTGAAAGATGTAAACAACTTCCGTAGCAAAATGTCCTAACTTTTTCCAACTTATCTAGGTTGGGTATAATTCTTTGAACTCATCTGGTCCTCATTCAAAACATTCCCATAAATGTTTCGAGGATGTCAATCCCACCAATTATTACCGATAACTTACCCGAAATTGGCATCATTGGTGCAATGCCATGGTGCTTCACGGCCCGTCCGAATTTTGAAGATTTTATGGTGAACACAACTGCTAATATGCAATGTAGAGTACCCTCGAGATCTGTCAACCGCAGCCGTGCGTTGTACCTGAGAAAAGCAGAGCGCCTTCAATTTTTGGTGTATGCAACGTGGACATCCCAAGAACACGAATAGTTGTATCCAGACCTAGCCGTTAAAAAAGACTCAGCGCCTTCAATTTTTCCCGCTTGCGATAGCAAAAAATTTCACTCATCTTATTCCTTTTCATACCTAGCCGTTGCTCGTAAATAGGGCGCTTTGAGTATTTCATCAAGTGGACAAAATTTAATTTAATGGCAATAAATATATAAATGAAATGGAAACTATCCATGCGGCAAGTGTTCGCCTAACTTATTCGGCAATTAAATACTTTACCCTCTCCTGAATCTTCTCCTTTAATTTATTTGGTAATATGTAGAAATTGTACTCAATTAATTATTTACTCCCTTCTATATGTTGCAAAGTTGCCAAATAGTACAATTTGCGGGACCGCGCTGATTATTAGAACCGCTAGGAACCTTCGTCAAAAATGCGCCACGAGGTGGTCCAAAAAAGCGGAAATTTAGCTTATTTACGTATTTTATGAACGGCCCTGTGACAGCAGTTTGCCTTGAAGAGAATTAGGGAACCGTTGCTGGACATTTTCCCTGTTCGATGACCTTAAAGTAACTTTATCGTGGGTCTGCTCTTCCCATACCTGCGGAAAAATCATACAAAACTCTGAAACTTTGAAACTTGCGAAAGAGTAAAAACTTCGATTTATAAGTTACGTTGTGTGAACCGAAGTAAGGTCGCATAAACCGAGAAGAACGGCTACGCACAATCCAACTTTTAAACCAAACCGAACTGAAAAAGGATCGAATTTAGTAGAAGGAAACAAACGCGATTACTAACTTGTTAAAATCGTCCAAAGTTTCCATTGCCTTAAAAGATTGACCACGTGTTCGATTAATAAAATCCGCATAATAATTTTTTCCTAAAATTGACAATATCTTGGCACAAAAATCAAAAGCAATTTGAGGTTTTAAGTGTTTTTTGAGATAAATTTGAAAAATAGTAATTGGACGAATAAAATTTGACGCATTTGTAAACTTGTTAAAATCATGCAAAGTTCCCATTGCCTTGACTACCTGTTCTTGTAATAAAATTTGCAAAATTGTTCTTTCTTAAAATTGAAAACATCTTGACAGAAAAAAAGCAATTTGAGGTTTTAAGTGTTTTTTAGACTAATTTGGGCAATTTTTACATCACTGTAACTGCGTTAGCTCCTACCTGCTAGATTCTATCCAAGTTAGCACGGTAACTTGAATCAAACTATGAAACGAACGATTCAAATGAACGAACTTTTTTTTCTCAAATGTGCATATCGGGTATCTTATGTCGCTCGGAGAACTCAGAAATATCTTTAGCATAATAGGAACATGCTTAAAACTCCTAAAATATTATCAATAGAAATATGCAAATAAAGAAGTGTAGAACCTATTTTCTCTTCTCCGCTGTGCCTCTCACGCCTTAAAGCTTGATATTATACTTGCAAAGTAAACCGGACTTGCTGGAAGCCGTGTAAGATCCACGCCACGTTTCTTATGGTACGGAATGTTTCTGCCCGGACTGACGCAATTTTAAAATAATTTAATTTTGCGCTATATTGTTTTTCTCTAGGAATTTCCTCCAGGCACTTTGCGTGTTTGTTCGCTCATCGTATCGATCTGGTTCTCGCGCTCTCACCGCACAGAGGTGTGGACTTTAAAAAAAAATCATTTTATTTTTTTATTTTACAATTTTAGTACGTAAGAAGCTTAATTAAGCCTACGGTACAAGTCAGAAGTGTGGTTGAACAGGAAAACTAAATTGTTACACATTGTAAATCGAAATTTAGATAAAGCTAGATTAGTTTTTAGTTTCTTCCTAAAATCATCAGAAACAGTAATATTTCATGATCTCTCTAGGTTTCACAAATTTTTTCAAGGAACTCATCTAGGTGGTAGAATGCAGAATTTTGACAAACTTTTTTTAGAAGTTTTAGAAATGCTCCGGGATGATCGTAATTTTATAAAACCAGAATTTTTTTATTTTTCAAAATAGGTAACACGTTTTAACACTTTTTTTGATAGTCATATGATTTTGGAGGTTCCCGGTTGGTCAAGAAGCGACGTGGGTTTTGACAAGTAGAGGTTGAAATTTTGGCCCGACACTTTTTTCGTGGTGGAAAGGAATGGTGCGGATCGAAATGTTTCGGAACTGCGGACTGGCCGTGCCTCGTCTCTCTTTGTGGAGATTTCTTCTTTGAAATATCTCGATTCTTATAATTTAAGGGGCGCAGATAAAAATTGGAAGTGAGATGATGACGAAATAAAGGTATTTCACTTAAACACGTAGAGGTTGTCCCGCCTCTCTCTGTTTCACTTCCGCAAGAATGTCGCCTCTTTGCCCTCGCGGCAAACGAATTTCGTCTTTCTTCGACGAAATACACAATTACATTTGACCAAATTTCCACTTTGAAATCGAGTGTATCGGCGTTTCTAACAAAAAAATTTGACTGATTTTTACTTCGATTACACGCAAAAATCAGCAAAATTTTGAAAAAAAACTTTGCCGGCATATTCTTGAAAAAAATTGATCGTTGAAGTCAGTTTTGCATTCTTCGAAACCGAGGTAAAGTAAGCTCGCCTTAAAAAAATTATCTCAGAACAAGAAAAGCTCTTTTCATTAGAACGTCGCACAAATTATACCTTTTTCGGCTGAATTATTTTGAGGAGGTGTACAAGTATGTTTTCAAAACAAACCTCTGGCAGTGTGCATCCGAATCTATTACACAGGCGAATGCGAAGTGTTCTCGACTGGATTTCGGGTGACGTCATCGCTCCTTAATTATCCAGCCCTCTCTCTCGCGGCAGAGGTTGCGTCTCGTGTTTTGGGGGGGGAAACATGCCCGTCTGCCGGCGGGTTTCCTTGTTTGTTTATGATAATTTAAATCGGTCCCGCGGAATGCGCTTGATGGGAAGGAGAGCGGCGGCGACATGCTGTTCCAATCCGACGGGCGCTATTCTGCCGTGCTAAGGAAGAACGCCGTATGAGCCTTCAGACGTTGCCAAATTTCCCTTGGCAAATCACTAATTTTCAGGTAATTTTTTTACATATTTGTCTACCAATTTCTCAGATAATTTTATTCGTAATTTGATCTAAAACGTCTGAAAATTTCAAGGAAAAATATTCATAATTTTTCTCAAAAATAAACATTTCATGGAGGGAAATTTGGCAACTCTCGAATGTTCATACGGCGTTCTTCCTTAGCACGGCAGCATTATGGATTGAATTTTTACCCCTTATTTTTCCGTGTCGAAATTCCGCCTACACGTGCTAAGCGAAGGGCAGCGCGGTGTATATTTGTGATTTCCCCGCTGTTTTACCGGCCCAGTCGTGGGTTTTTCAAGTGCGTTGACTTCTCTACGACCATCTGCGATACAAAGCGCTGTGAGAAATACAAACTTTTAAGGGATAAAAGGGGTTTCGTGCTCTTTTTGACTGCGTTATTGGGTTATACAAATAAAACGGGGGTTTTTCCTCCTTTCTTCCTTTTTCTTGTACCGCAGCGTAAACGAGAATATGAGAGAAAAGCTTATTTTTATTTTTAATTTTTTGGAGCCAAGCGCGAAATTCTTTTGGATTCTAAAATGGAATATTTTTTCGGTCTTCAATCGACGCGAAATTTCAATATCTGAAAAACGCACTTTTTAAGGACGCAGACCTAAATTTTGTAAATTGCAAGTAAAAAAACACGTAAATAATGGGTAAATCACAAAGTTAAATGGAAAATAAACACAGTCAGAACCTCTGGGACCAATTCCAGGAATCAGGGCAAATAGGGTTTGCATACTGATTCCTGTTATTATACCCCACTATTAGTCCGTTTTCCGGCCTCCAGATCTCAGTTTCATAATGTGTTTTGCCGTACAAGTGTCAATTTTCTTTGAACACTCCATACGTACGGTAAGGGTCATAAATCGCCCAAGTTTAGATAATGATCGGCGTTTTTTTGTATAGATTTTTTTTTATTCCTTTCTTTTTTTTATTTATTAAAACCCTGAATATATAATTGCCACTAGAATCCCTTGGATCTCCAGTGTTGGGGGTTTTTTCCGTGCCCTAAATCTAACTCAAACATACTGATTTTACCCGTGTTCCAGTGTTTTCTATTTCCACATTTCTTTTTTACTCAAAGTTTTGATATAAAAGTGCCACAAAAAATTAACGGAATACGTTTATTGAGTCTGACAGGTGACGGGAAGAATATATCAAATATTTAGTCGATATCCCTACTGTTTACAGCCTACTTTTTTTAACCTTGTTCATTTCGATTAACTTTGGGTCAAGCGTACTTCTCGACATTCATTTTACGATTGAGGAGGGGGTCTACCTTTTTTTCTATGACGCTTTTTACTCCCACTTTAATTTTCCCCCAATAATGCGCCTGGAAACGTTACAGTTGGTGTCATTGTGAAAAATAATCTGCTTTTGGTCTGTCTCTGAATCAACGGTCCGAGGTTTTGTTGAAAAATTTATGAAGTATAACCCGTAATGAAATAGTGTGCTGTACTGGGAACAATTTTTTCATAAAGCTATCTCTTCTTTTGTTTCAGGCTACTGAGGCTTTGGCAGACATTATCTTATGAGGTAAGCTCCATAGTCGTAATAATACGTTCATCACTCATTCCAAATCCGTTGAAAGCGCAATGAACGTGAAAAAAAGGCTAACCCCCGACTGTAGTTACAGTTTTCCAATGTCACTTACATACATATTTCAGCCGACTGCTTCTTTAAATCAGCAGCATTGATCAAATGCCCTGCTGAAGATTTATTATTAGCGTTGGCGTTCTGCAATGCAAAGTGGAAAAAATACCTCATGAAAGTAATGTAAACACTTCCGGGTTGTTACTACCAAAGTGAGTCCCTTGAGGGTACTTGTTCCATCTGCTCAAACCTGTTAAACAAAATCAAGTGTTAGTTAGTCGGCCGTAAAAAGTTCCTTCAATTAACGCGACTACCACACGCACACATGAATGTTCGAATAGTTGTATCGGCCCCTGTGTCAAATCCGTTTCAATCCATAGTGTGCTCTCAACATGGATTAATATTGAGGGAATCCCAGGTTAGTTGAACTTCAACATTTTAAATTTTTCTCTTTCTCTCATTCAATTTTTTCCATTTATTATTTTTTATCTCCTTAGCCCCCCAGTCTCTTTCTGTTTGTTTAAAAAAATGATCTGCCTCGTCAAAGGTTTCCTTTACTCGCCCATGTGGCCCAACCATTATAGCCTTATTTTTCTTTCTTTCTTTTTTCTCTCTGTTATCTTCAGTTAATCTAGTATTTAAAATTTCAAATGTACACATTGTAAAATATTTTATCTGATTTGACCAATAAAAATTGAATAAATAATATAATTATTTTTGAATTTTTTGTTTTTGTTTTTATAAATCTATACATTGATTCCTTACATTCAACTCCATTGTTATAGAGTCGATAGTCTTTTATCGTAGCCTTTATCTCATCGGAATAACGGTCCTCCAAAGCTTTGAGCCTCTCGTCATAACTTACGTGATGTTCAAAACCAAGTACATGTAAAGTAATTAATAAGTTTATCATGTAAATGTCTAAGAATCTATTCACATGTAGTGCAAAAATGTCTTTATGTTAATTAGTATAGAGTAACCTGCTCCTTAGAAACCATACTCCTCGCTATAAAATCATTTGTTGCTGTGTAAAGTATTTAACGCCACTTTTAATCCCACTGTCACTCTTAATCTCGATCTCATTAATTTTAATCACGCAGGAAAGGCCAGTCACAAAAAAATTTTACCCCGTTCCTAAAAGCGCTCCTGAAAGCGAAAAGTATACAGTGTAAGCTGTGCTATGCCGAGATTTCCCTTGCCTTTCATCCGGTGGTCTTTCACAGAGTTCGAATAAATGCGCCACGCTATCCGAAGCATCGCAAATTTGCATCCAAATGTAATAGTGGAGCCGTTTTTTTCTCTGGGAGAGAGTAAACGCTTAAAAAACAAGGTACGAAATTAAACTTCGCTACATATATATGCCTCCTCATCAACATTTTACGTAGAATACGATTGATTTAGTAAAATGTTTCAACTGAAGCCCACAAACGAGACAATAGCGTTTCGGTACCTATGCGCATCAATTCACTTTTTCCTCTCTAAAAAAGCCGAAGTCTACACTTCGATGGCCAAAGTGCGAAACCGCATATCTCCAGTGGAATGTTTCAAACCTTCCGCGTTTCGAAGACACACAAGCCAACTCTAAAGCTTTATACAGAATATTCTAGTAACAAAGAAGAAAAATCAGAAAAGTTTTCAAGAAATCATGTTGAGTAATTCACCAAAGAAAAAATGAAGAATGACAGGAAGCCTGTAATTTTGCTAACGAATATGCGTCGTTTCGCACTTGGGCCACGGACTTGTCAAATTGAACATTAAATTTTCAAACTGGAGGAATTTCCCGTTGGGTAAATTTTCTTTGAAGAAGATTAGAGATGTTATACATCAGGGGAATTAAAACGGAAATCGTGTATGTGTAAACGAACTGTCCCTATTTGCCTGGCGTAGAGGTTGTTTTTTTACCATAGCTTCAAATGAGAAAATAGCGACCGTCTCATCGTCACTGGCTCGAAAGGTATCTAGAACTTCGGTACTTTGGACATGGGGAAAGTCCAAAACAAAACTTTAAGCCGCAGCTCTACAGGGGCGGGCGACAGGAAGTTGACCGCGTGAAGTCCACCGCGCGGCAGATGCGCGCAACAGGGTGCGATGATTTTGAACCTACCTGTTCCAACTAAAAAGGGGATTCGCGGCGTCAACGTCTGTGGCAACGAGCAGGTGTGCAATCATTGCACTCGGTCGCCCAAATAAACGGCGCGCAATGGCGAAGCTCTAATAATCGTCAATCGATATTTTCCCATTTGAATCCATGGTTATGAATCGATTTTTAAGGTGTTCGCTGCGAAAGCCGTGATAATCGATTCTTTTCCGTAGGTTAAACCACTGGTCACGCAGTCATAAGCGCGCCGCCCGAGCCCCATACTACCGCGCTAAGGAAGAACGCCGTATGAACATTCGAGAGTTGCCAAATTTCCCCGGATGAAGCATGTATTTTTGACATAGAGTATACATAGAGTCGTAATGTAAGTGGGAGAGCTGGCGCCACTTTTAAGCATTTTCCATGTCCCGAATTCCGAGACTCCTGTGTGACGCCGGGTCACTTTTTCGATACATAATCGATTGTTTGCGATACACGGGTACCCGGCCATCCGATGACAACAACAACAACAAAGGAGATAGGAATTACCACGTATTCCACACCGCTATTTTGGATCGAAAATGTATCGAAAAAGCGACCCGAACTCGGCGCACACCGGGCTCGGAATTCGTCGAGCAGAACATGGCGCCAGCTCTCCCACTTACATTACGACTCTATGTACTCTATGATTTTTGACTAAATGTATGCATATTTTTCCTTGAAATTTTCAGATATTTTAGATTAAATTGTAAACAAAATAGTCTGAAAAATGGAAGAAGAATATTCACAATTTCCCCAATAAATTAGTATTCTATCAGAGGAAATTTGGCAACGCCTGAAGGCTCATACGGCGTTTTTCCCTAGCATGGCAGCTTATTACCGTAGCCTCAGAAAATTAGGTGGCAGGATAGACCAACAACGAACTTGCCTTAGGGAAAGACGAAGCGTCGTTTCATCCTCCCCCAAGGCCCCTGGTCTAGCACTACCCTTAGGAGAAGGGAAGGATGAAGGCAGAGCTTCCAAAGCGAGAGAAACATCACGGACTCGAATTCGCAGGTGTGCCAAACCCGACACTCAAAGGCAGGAACTTTCTAAAAGGGTTCATTTCAGATATTTTTTAGGATGTATCTCTCCTTAAATAAGCCGGCTGAAATGTTTTCTCTGCTGTTTTATTTTTTTAAGGGGGTTCGGGCATGCTGTTACCTCGGAACAAGACACATTATATGAGGGTAGACAGCAGCCCTTAAGCTAATAACGCACCTGTTTGCCTACGCCCTTCATGTTGATTTTGGTTGCGATCTCGACTGGTGCGCGATCAATGTGGTCTCAATTTTTGCTTTCCTCGCCGGGTCACTGTTGCTCTACACTTGGGCAGCTGCAGCTTGCGTCGCTCGCATTCAACGAATTTCCTCGTGGCTCCCAAATATACTTGCACCTGACCGAAAATCGGTGTAATCATGACCCAATTTCCCCGGCTTCTCCCTCCCTCCTGTACCCCGAAGCGACTCGGGACGATATTACACTGGCGGCCGTTGCTCGCACATGGCTCGTGATATTTGCTCTGATCGATTCGATTCGGTCGCGGGCAGTTTTTCGCCGCGCCCCATCGCCAACTCGAATCTTTCAGAGGGGTTTTTGAGCATTTTTCCCCTGGAGTCGGTGAGGGCTTTTCAGGGAGACGCAGCAACACTGCACGCACTCGCTCCCTCATTCAGTTCCGCGCTACCCGTGTTTCGATCTTAAAAGCCCTATTTTATCATCTCCGTGCGCATCCTCATGTTTGATATATTTACATGCTGGCACAGTGTTGCTAGCGTACACATAAAACACCCCCAATTGAGTGCCTCGCCGGAAAATAAATAATTGAAATTTAACGAGAAAAAGTTGGTTTTCTTTCATTTTGTTTTCGTCAAGAACGAGCTGTTGGTGTTGAAGATTTATCCGTCTATTACCTACTGATTTTTTTTTTTTTTTTTTTTTTTTTTTTTTTTTTTTTGTTATAAACTTTATTCAATTGAGGTATCGCATTTTGCGTGTTAATTAAATGAATTAAATTGAGAAAGATCTTGCCTTTACACGTCATGTTGTTTATCACAAGTTGTTGTAGTGGACATTTCGGACATCAAGTCCATCCTCGGCAATAAATCACGAAATTACACAGTAAAACACCGTTAGTTGATGAAACATCACAATGCATTACAATTAAAACAGGAACAATTGCAAAAGTGAAAAGGTTAACTTAAACTTTATTCCTTTTTATTAATGATTGGATTCTAGTACGTATAAAGAAACAACTTTTTCTAGCTCTCTTATAAAAACTACTATCTACATAAGACATGTTATAAAACTTAAGGTGTTTTCAATTGAGTTTACGAAGTCAGCCCGTACTTTTTAAGCGGTCCAATTACTAACGCTTATACCAGTCTACCGTATTCTAACTAGTGCGCCTTCGAAACTCAAACAGGCAATGTAAGCAGCTTAAGAGCAGTAACAGTTGCTTGCTATGGTTTTATAAGTCAATTCCGTTTCCGTATGAATTGCTCACTAATTATGGTGATTATAGCGGTGGCTTGTGCTCCGACCAGTTCGCCTTCAAAACCCGAGCAGGTAATGTGAGTGGCTTGGGAGCGGTAATAGTTGCTTGTTTAGTTTGCTTGGTCGGTTTCCGTAGCAGACACGAATTCATTAAAGTGCTTGTTGCGGGATAGGATTGTTGACAACATACGTAACACTCTAGGGGAAGAGGAGGTTAAGGAGAGCGCGTTACGCCATTTTCCTCTTACGTGTCGAAGGTTAGCGATCCATGTCACAAAAACATTATGAGGGGCGGAGTAGCATTACGTATTTTACTAACGCGTTCCGCCTA